GATTAGCGATGGTTCTTTTATAAACTAGATTTCATATTTCCTTCATTATTATGTATTTTATTCTCGACATACTCATATTTTCTATTATCAGAAGTCTGAAGAATAGGCTGAGAAGAGAGAGATGAGAGGGGTCATCTGTACTGCACGCTGACTCTACGAATTTTTAGTTTGTAGCATTGCTGAGAATAAATGTATCCGACCTTGCGTAGCTCTTGACGAGGTTTGATCTTTGTTGACAGTTTGTCGATATTTCAAGTGGTATTGTTAGAGCTGTCAAAATGGTTGTTATTTCCTTCTTTTTCTTTACGCCTTCTACGTAGCTGCATGCTATAACTCACAAGGGCAAGTGCTGCTTAAAACAGCAGGCACAGAATAATATTACATGTCATTCATGTCAATGTAATTGCATATTGTTTCGTAAGCAATATTAGATGAGATTGATTGGTAGTATAAATAAGATCTTAGCTTAGTATTATCAAACAATGAACAATTCAACTCAAGAAACAAGTTTTGTAAGTAAAGCTCATGTGGGGAATCTCATGATGTCCATCAAATGTTAACGATCTAGGATAATTTTCTAGTTAGAATTGCCCCCCAAAACTTAGATACGATATAAATTAAAAAGTTTATAAGATCGTGACTAATTGTATCAAAATCTAGTAACTGTTCACAGTGTCTCTTGATTGCCTTTGAAAAATAAAAATTCATGAATAGTGTTATTTGTACATCATGATTTACATAATAATATACAGAATGCTATTGTGTGTGCATATATATTAATTAATTATTACCGATTTGGTTGAACATGAGGTCTTTAGTGTGTTAGATTGATTTAATTTTTTATGAGAAGTGTTATTCTCACCAAAAATTCTATTTTTTGGGTGTTTGATTGATATTTTTTTCACGGAAAATATTCTTCAAAAGTTGGTCATGTGACTATATTTTCTTTAAAAAAAAAAAAAACATAGTCTTTGAAAAGGAGTAAATTTTTATTTTTCAAGCAATCCTCTCTCTCTCATCCACCCCCTCTTTTCTACCAACCAATAAAAGAGGGCATGTATAACATTTTTTAAATTTATAATTAAATCAATCAAACATGTTCAATTAATAATTTAATAAATTTCAGGCAATTCAATTACATAAAACTTATTTTATTTCCATGCAAATTCCACATTTACAATCAAACACACCTATTAAAATATAAAACAATAGGAAAATGAAAAAGAAGGGAATCTACCCTCCCCTTCGAATACCCAATTCCTCTTAAGGACTATATAACTAATCCGTATTACCAAGAGCAATACATCTGTTATATGAAAGATCACCAACAAAGATAATCACAAGAAAGTGCCAAACAGGACAGCATAAGCCACCAAATTCATATGGAGAGATTAAGCTAGAAGCATATTAGAAGACTAAAAAGTATGCCCTCTGTCGTTCGTATAACATCACATGGTCGGGTCCTTGCCAAACCTCATAAGAGCATGAGTCGCAAACATGGAAGCTCGGCGTGTCATCTCAGTGATTCGACCAACGACGGGCAACTTAACCGTATCTCTATTCCATAACGGTTTTTTATCCCACCTGTAAACAAGGAAAAAGCTTAGGATATTGCCCACACGTGAAGGATAACATAATTTTATAAATAAGTTTAAACCATCTCTTAAAACTTTTAGATGAGATACTTCACATATCCTAACAAAACAAATGTCATTGATCCAAATATAATAATCCCATTCACGAAAATTGAGAACAAGTTAGGCATGAGACAAAAATAAATCTAGCTTGCTTGTGAACATATGTGTATGAGACATAATTTGAATATAGACACGTTTGTTCCCTCTCTAAAAGATCAAACTTTCGACCTTTACAAGACACAATAACTGTGCTTGATAGTTCACTCAAGTCAATATATCTCTGCCATACCTCAATTTGTTAAATTGATAACGAAGCATCAATGTCCAATCATTACCCTTGGTTTTTATGAAATCAAGCGATGAGATTTGTCATGTCTCAAGACTCTACACTTTCAACCACATTAGCCATCTTTGTGAATTTTACATTAAACAGCAACAGAACTGAGCAAGGAAATAGTTTCTTAACCTTGTGAGTTTCAAAAATATTTAACAGGAAGACTTCGAAATTAAATGCAACATGAACACAGTAGCAAGGGCAGGTTAATTGTAAGTATATAATGTGTGTGCATACCAATCCTGGTGACGAACAATTTTCCCATCCTCTATGTACAGCTTGATGAGTGATATCATATTTATGTCTTTCCCCATAAACTTGTAATATTGTTTGTTGTCAATAAGTATCTGGAGTCCAAGTTGAGATAAAACAACAAACTGAAAATAATTAAACATAGTCCAGAAAAAAATGTGAATGAATCACTACCATTAAAAAATATTAAATACTTAAACGATATTTAGGTTTCCGACCTCCTCCTTTCCTGGTGAAATTACGTTTTCTTCGATACTATACTCCACAATTCTCGATTCACTGAAGACCTGAAATTATTAAATGAACACTAATTATGACACACAGCAATCCGTATTAAAATCATGCAACTATCTCGTATAAAACAGAACTTTAAATCTACGGAGCCAGAAAATCAAGTCAGTGCAAGTAGGTTTAAGTGTCAATCACTTAAACTCGCATTCTAAGGAATCACATACATTATGTGTTCATATGCCGAAACTAATATTAGGAGAGGGTTCCCTCAATAAAGGCATACTCATGAAAGTACACCAACTTTTGCTGTAAACTATGTCATGTATTTGAAATCAGCATTCCTTTAGCTATTCAATTTTTGAGACAACTAGTGCATTGAAATTAACTGTAACTGGCTTAGTTCACCCAAAAAAAAAAAAAAAAAAAAAAGGATGGATGGACTAAAAAGTCAAATGTGAACTAACCTTAGCAAGTGAATAGAATGCCGATTTGATCTGTTGTACCCTGCAATCAACAGAGACGTGCAGATTAGAGAAAGATAATCATACAAGAGGTTTAGAATTGGTTCTAGGAAGCAAATAGACCACTTTAACAGAAAAGGTGAGACATACATTCAATTACTCTAACCACATTTTTCTTCAACTTAATTATTCCCATATTCTATTTCCCACATTTTCATTCCTCAATGGTTTTATCATTTCCCAGGGACTGGGGACTGTCCATGAAGCAGAGTAACTAAAGTTACAACTAGCGCAGGTGTATTGATGTTGAATAAAGTAGGATAGGAAACAATGATATTTGGATGAGAAATTCAGCATTCTCATAGTTCTGCCTATTTGACTGTACTATACAAGGTCAACAAATCTGAATAATCTTCAACAACGAACCTTCAGACTTCCACATATGATATTAGCGATTACTCAACAGTAAATGTTCCGAATAGCATAGTTACTAGTAAATACCATTCCTATATTCTAATCAGTATCTCTAAAGAATCACTTTCCTAAATAGCCAAAGTTTATAGTGAATCATACCCGTGTGCACACATAAGGGGGTCTTCAAAGGTTGCATGTGGAGCATACATGTCAAAATCTTTAGATGTTGCACGGGAGGCATAGCTGCAATGTTGACAGAAAATTTATGAATGAAATAATAAAAGTACAGCTTAAGCAAATCCTTAATTTATATAGAAAATTTTTGTTAGTTTGAGAATTATTCTAATGAAGAAAAAACAACATATGTGCTACAATTAAGAGGCTGTCCTGAGTTTAGCATCGAGGATAAAAAATTCTACTGCATACCCCACATAAGCAAACCATACTGTAAATGGTATGGCTTTTTACTAACTGATTACTTTCTGAAACCACTTAAATATCTTATCACTCCTTCATGAACACTACATCAAGAGGAAAGAACTAATTCCTCTAATTCCTCTTATCCACTTCAATACAGAGACGCATCCTAGATAGAACAATACCACAGCCGGAAAGATTCAAACCTTAATCCCATGGATAACCCCTTCCTCATTTATCAATAGCATATATTACTGATCCAGAATATGAATTTTAGAATTACCCATGCTACTTATCTGTCCAATGTCTCAGCCTCACTTGATATGGACATCAAGAGCAGCAAAAGAGTTACATAATTACATTTCCCTTCTAAACTCCCAACTTCATATGATTCTTTTTAATATTAACAATTCTCCATATTCATTGGACCAATCATCTTATTAAAATAGATTTTCCCATTTGTAGATGGAAATCCTCAATCAATTACACGATAAACCCATGGATGCTCACCAGAAAACTCAGTTCATCCATCCTCAATCTATCAAACCATAGTCCGGCTTTATCAGTGCTGTGGGCAGTTTTGAGATATAAAGAAACAGATTACGTTACAGCCCAGATAATTCATGATCTTGGAAAAAGTTACGTCTAACTTTTAGCATTTTATTCCAATTGGGGGACTTTTGTTAGTTCATCATTAGTAAGTTATGGGCCATAGCATAAGATTTCAAAATTAAAAAGAACAGAGAGAGAGAGAGAGAGAGAGAGTTTTAGAATTAATTGAAAAGGGGGCAGGCACTCACAGGTTGAGAATGTGAGGGAGTATATCATCAGCTACACCTTTTGATGCATCACAAGCTGCCTTGCAATACCCTTCTCTCTGCTGTTCTTTTATCGACTCCTGAGTATCTTCACCAACAATCCCAAAAAATAACAAACAAAAAAATACAATTGAATTTGCCACGTTAGAATTCATCGCCAAAATCCCAGTTCACAAAAGCAACAACTTAAAAAAAAAAAAAAAAAAAAGAACTTGAAAATTATTAAGTAATCAAAAGTAACAAGAAATTGAATGAAAATTAAAACCCATAAAGAAATGAACGAAGGGGATGCACCTTGTGAGTAATTTTTCATGATGGATTCAGATATTTTGTACCCGTTTTGCGATGAAATAATGGTTCTGGTTGCTATAAGAGAGTGAGAATGTGGGAGAAGGTAACATGCAGAAGATGAGTGAAAGACGAGAAATGGAGACACGGTCGTGAGGCTGGGTGGGGGGCCACGTGGCAATATCTTGTCCATTTGCTGGCTCAACAACCGGTTCAGTTTCGTCAGAAATAAGGAACTCTTCATGTTTAAGGATTCTCTTGCCAAAATCTATGCAACTTCTTGCCTTCAGCCTTCACATATCTATTGATGGCATGACACAAATTAAGGTCTCAGAAATTGACTGTTTCTAATTTCAATTTTTACAAGTTAAAAT